AGAGAGAAGAGAGAAGAGAGAGACATAGAGAGAGAGAGACAGAGAGACAGAGACACAGAGAGAGAGAGAGACAAAGAGAGACAGAGAGAGAAAGCATGGGAAACTTAGAGAACAAGAGGAAGATTTCTACCATTTGATAGTATAAAGTCAGGATAGGATTGTGCAGGGGATTTTGCTGTTGTTTTTGCAGTACCGGGAATCAAACTCTGGGCCTTGTTCTTGCCAGGCAGGTACTTATGCTTCTGAGCTATATCCCTGGCCCCACATGCTGTTATTTGAAGTGGAATTATTTCTGATGCAAAGTCTTGTTTTAAAGAAGAGATGTGCCTAATTTTGAAATCCTAGGACTTTTCAATAGAATATCAGTCCTCTCTGCATTTCTTACTTGGATGACCTCCATCTTCCTCCTAATTTTCTGTTTAGTGCTAATGTTCTCAACATAATTTGTTTACTCAGTCCTTGGTCTATTCTGTCGTGAAAATATCATTGCTATTTATGGCAAAGGTTGGAGGTGCTTGAATGAATTAATAATTTTTAAACTGCCTTTTCATATGAAACAAATACATTAACTAAAAAGAGAACTGCTTACTTGAGAATGATGTGCTTTAATAGGACCAAATTTTACTTGAATATGGCATACTGTTAATAGGACCACTCGAGTATTTTGCTGACACAAAATCTATTTGTTGTTGGAGGAGTATAGCAGGACATCACGCAGTTTCTGCTCAGGTACAAGTTATATTTTGAAAGGGAGGAAGGGACTGTTTTAAGTACTCAGTAAATTACACTGGATTCCTGAATATACTTACATCGATAGTATTTTTATGGAACTTCTTATCATAGTGTCATTAAAGTTAACTTTATATGTCAAGGATATCATGCATATCATGGTTAGCAATACAATAGGTTTCAGTTACTATAAAAACTGACTTTCAAAGGGATTTTGAGAATTAGTTACCTGCATCAGTTGATATTTCCAAAAGAGCACCTTCGCAAGAACTTCAGGCCCCTTTCATTCCTCTTTCCTAAAGGCTTCTCTTCCCTCACTCCTCAGAACCACTGTGTCATTCTCCTTTTAGGGCCTCTTCTTCACCCTCATGCATTCTTTGCTTTCAGAGTTTTTTATTTAAGTAATTAATTATTTGGTGCAGGGTCCTGCTATGCAGCTCGGACTCACTGATCCTCCTATCTCAGTGTCCCCAGCCCTGGGGTTATAGGCGTACGCTACAATGCCGGGTTTTGGTGGCTGGCACCACGAGACTAGGGTTCTGGGGCCCACACGGTGTATGTTGCCTGGAATGGGACCCCAGTCCTTGCAATGCCAGGCAGGCACTTAGACAGCCGAGCTATCTCCTCAGTTCTGTTTTCAGTTCTTTATGACCTTTGTGTGTCTCTTTTCTGAATACCTTGTCTTTGGGTTTAGGAATTTTTCTGGTATGAGTCATTTTCTGGCCTCCGTGTCCCATATTTGACCCATTTACCTGTGTGTGAACAACTGGCCTGTCAATAAGTTTCTTCTAAATCTGCTTAAGTTAAAATGAAACATGGACCATGTTTCTTATTTCTTAAATCAGTGGGTCAAAGAAGAAATCATAGCGAAAATTAGAAACTGCTTGAGATAAATGAAAAAAATCAAACTTTCAAATACCAAAATATATAATGCAGCCAAAGCAATTTGCAGAGGGGAAATTAATAGCTATAAATACACATTTTTAAGAAAAATCTAAAATCACTACTCAGCCAGTGTTTTGTTCAGACAGTGGACAAAAAGTAAACCAAACCTAATGCAATTAGAAGGAAGAAAATAAACATTAAGCAAAAATTTGCAAAATAAAGAATATAAAAGCAGTAGAAGAATTAACAAAACCAAAATTCTCTTCTTTGAAAATGGTAACAGAATTGACAAAGCTTATAGTAGTCATGACAGATAACCCACTACTATTATGGACTACTGGACTATATTGGATTATTTTGCTGAATTCATACACCTACAATATTTACAATGGAATACCCATCTCTGACAAAACTAAACAAAAAAAGGGAATACAAATGAAGGACCATTTTGTATCTGTATATACAAAATAGGATAGATATGCAGCTACTTTCTCTTAATTCAAAGAGAAGAAAGATTCATACTAATAGTGTTTGGACAGGATATCAGGTCTGCATCTTGTACTATGAATAACCACTACGAAGACAACAATATGCAATGTATTAATTATTGTAACTGTCCTACTAACCTGTTTTGAAACTGTCTCATTGCTATTTGTTTCTTAATAATAAAAAAAAAAGGATGACTAAGAGAAAAACAAGAGGATTTAAATTACTAGGACGATAAGCCAGGTGACCTTCTACTGACATTAAAGAAATAACATGGATTGTCAAGCAATACTGTGAACTATTTACATCTAAAAGTTACATAACAGATAAAATAAACAAATTCTTAGAAAGACATGAATTAACAAAACTGACTCAAAAAGACACAAAAATCTGAATTGCTTTACAGAAACAAAAAGATGTATTATTTATTTTACAATAATCAAAGTAAACCCTGGTTTCAGGTTGATTATACTCCAAGACAGATAGTAATTATCTCAGGAATGCGAAGTCAGTTTAATAGCTTCAAATCAGTTAATATAATATCAATGGAACAAGGAACTATAAAATGCATGCTCATAGCAACTTTTATTCAGTATTGTATTAGAGATTCTAAGTAGACCAATTAGGCAAAAAGAAAAAAGAAAAAGAAAATACAGCTAGATGGGAAGAAGTCAAACTTCTATTTGCATAGGACATAGTCTGTTTTATATATAAAATCCCAAGGAATTTGTCAAAAGCTATTACTGTTTGCTAAAAACTATTTTACATTACTTAAAACAAGTTCATAGAGACTACAGAATACAATATCAATATATAAAATCACTTATATTTCTTTGCATTAACTGTAAACCATCTGAAAATAAAAATAATAAAACTGTCATTTGTTAAACAGCATCAAAAAGAATAAGATATGTAGGAATACATTTAGCCAAAGAAATAGAGCATTTATGTGGGAAAATATAAAACACTGCAAGAAGGTTAAGATAAATAAATGGAAATTGGGGCTGGGGGTGATAGGTCAGTAGAATAAGCACTTACCTGACGAACACAGGGTTCTGAGTTCAATCCCCGGTCCTGCAAAAAAAAAGAAAAAAAGAAAGAAAATAAATAAACAAATGGAAATAGAGATATATCCCAAGACAAAGATTAGAATAATTAATATAAATAAGATACTAACATTCTCAAAATTGACCTAACGAGTAATTACAATTTATATCAAACTTCTAGCTGGATTCTTTCCTGAACTGATGAACTGACAAAATTCTTACAAAAATTCAGGGAATCCAGGATGTAGCCAAAACAATCCTGAAAAACAACCAATCTGGTGCACTCACACTTCCTGATTTCAGCACTATAAAGCTTCTGTGAGAAAAAGCAGTGGATAACTGTAGACTTATAGATAAATGGGGTAGAACTGAGAACCTATACCTTCATATTTCTGGTCAGTGGATATGAAAAGAGACCTAAGACAATTCTGTAGGGGAAAGGTGTTCTCTGGATGATTTTTTTTCTTTGTTTTTTGCAGTATCAGGGATCAAATTCAGGACCTTGTGCTTGCCAGGCAGGTGCTTATACCACTGAGCTATCTCTGCAGCATAATATAGCCTTTTTTTTTCTTTTTTCTTTTCTTATTTTTTTTTCAGAACTGGGGATTGAACTCAGGCCCTTGCGCTTGCCAGGCAAGTGCTTATTCTACTGAGCTATCTCCTCAGCCTGAAAGGTATTCTCTGGGATGACGAGATACCCCCACCAAACACACAGAAGAATGTAACTACACCTCTAGCTCACTATTATACAAAAAAAATTTAAATATATTACGGACCTGTGTAAAGAGCTAAAATTACAAAACTTTCAAAATGTGAGAAATAAAGAAATAAATTGGACTTCATAAAAGTTAAACATTTCTGGGCTGGGGAGATAGCTCGGCAGTCTAGGGGCCTGCCTGGCAAGCGCAAGGACACAGGTTCAATCCCTGGAACCAAATGCACCAGGAACCCCAGGCACGCTGCGCCAGCCATGGAAACCAGACATCATGGTGCACACCTACAATCCTAGCACTGGGGAGGCTGAGACAGATCACTATGAGTCTGAGCTGCTTAGTGAGCCACTGTACCAAATACATAAATAAATAAATAAATAAATAAGATTTTTTAAAAATTTAAAACGTCTGTGATTCAAATGGCTTATCAAGAAAGTGAAAAGATAACACCAAATGGAAGAAAATGTTTGCAAATTATTTAGCTTAGAAGAGTTCAGTATTCCAGTTATATATAAAAAAGCTCTTACAACTAAATAAAATACAAAACACAATTAATAATGAAGACCTTATAAATAGATTTTTTTCAGCAAATGTACACAATGTCCAATACACACTTAGAAGATGCTTAGTAGCACCAATCATTAGAGAAATGAAAATCAAAGTCATAATGAAACAGGACTTCATACCAATGAGGATAGCTGTATATTGACACATAGTAATTGTACGTATGTGTGATATGACATTTCAGGATATGTATATAATATATAATTATCAGACCAGGATAACTGGTGTATCTGTCACCTCAGACATTGATCATTTTCTCTTTATTAAAAATATCCACAATCTTCTCTACTAGCTATTTTGAAATATTTGATTAATTAGAAACAACTATATTAAAGGATAGATATGCTTTGAAAGAAAAATTAATATGTTGTGAGGAATTAGAGATATTAAAACTTTCATAAGTTGTTGGTAGGAATGTAACATGATATGGCTATTTTAGAAAAAGAGATTGGCAGGCCCTCAGAATATTAAAGACGGGAGTTACCATAAGATTGAGCAGGAAATAAAATGTAGTATCCTTTCCCAGGGACCACCCACTCAGAGGGCCCCTCTCCTGTCCCTCTCTCAGACAGGAGCTTTCTTTCCCTCAATAAATATATTCTGCCCATAGAAAAATAAAATGTAGTATCTATACAACAACTTATACACAAATATTCATGGCAGCATTACTTCCTAGAAGAACTGGCTGAGAGAACTTGCCTTTCAGTTAAACATTTATGCCAAATAAAAATCATATATAAATCTAAGATGGAGATAAATTGGAGCATTAAGTGAAATTCTTATTCAGTGTCATTCATTTTTGGGTTGTACATCAGGATTTGTTATTTTTTTCTTCCAACTTTATTTTAAAAAATTTTTAAATTTAAAAAATGAAAAAATCAAAATGGGAAATCATTCTTGCTATCTACCAGTATATAAAGAATTAGATTTATTCTTTAAACATCCTTAAAATGAGACTCTGATAGTTACATTTGGTTAACATAACAAAAACCATGTTTCTTTCCAGAGATCTCTGCTTATTTTGAAACTGGCTCCTCAATGACCTATAATTTTCAAGAGCACCCCATCCTGAGCAAGAACACCAGCTCCCTGACAGCTTCTTCATTACAAAAGGGTGTAACATTTTCCAGAGAAACCATCACGCTGAGCTTCCAGACAACAGGAACCCCAAGCTCACTGCTCTATGTGAGCTCTTTCTATGAGGAGTACCTGTCAGTTATCCTGGCCAAGAATGGTGAATATCTTTTGTTGGAAAAAGAAGAAAGGAGAGACATTCTGAATTGGAAGACTGGCAGGGGCCTATTACTATGGTCATAATTCAGGTCTCAGTCCTGAGTTTTCTTATGTATGACTCAAATCTTTTCCTTTGATAAAAATTTTGGGAGGTGACTTATTATCAATGAGTTCAGTCTTGACTTCTAAAAGCACTAATATTGTACTCAGAGTGTGGCACTAGAATAGTAATTAAGTTATCACAGTTCCAGAAGAGACAGTGGTTGGAATGACAGCATGCAAGTCAGTGCTAACCAGACTTAAAAGGCTGTGTAGTAAATAAGGGTGAAAGTGACTTAGAATCTTCATTGAGAGTTTTCTAAAAGACCACTTTAATTTGTGTATATGTAGATATTTGCAATACATAATAATCACATTTATTTTAGGAAATTGGTATCTGTATATATTGCATCTTAATCATTTTTAGTTCTCCTTTTAATTTAAATATCTTTTTTTTTTCTCTTTAGGAAGTTTGCAGATTAGATACAAGCTAGACAGTCACCAAGATCCAGATGCTTTTAACTTTGATTTTAAAAACATGGCTAATGGATACCTACACCAGCTGAAGATCAAGAGAAAAGAAGCAGTGGTCTCTGTAGAGGTAACACAGCAAATACACACACACACACACACACACACACACACACACACACACACACACGAGTCAAAATAACTATCATGAGGCTGAGAACAAGTACTTTAATGCAAATATCTGATAACAAGAGAGCAACCCAGGGCCAGCCAGAAAGCTTAGCAGACTAAAGTGACTGCTTAAGCAGGCACAGGGACTGGGGTTCAATCCCAGTCATCCCGTGCAGGCCTCCCCTCAGCCCTCACCCCAGGGCATGCTGGGAGGGCAACTGAGACTGGGTGTGGTGGCATGTGCCTGTAATCCCAGCACTTCAGAGGCTGAAAACAGAAGGATCACTATATGTGAGACACTGTAAAATCAGAGAGAGAGAGAGAGAGAGAGAGAGAGAGAGAGAGAGAGAGAGAGAGAGCGAGCTTCAGGTCAAGGACAGAAAACCAAATAGAGCCAGGATTTGGGTTAGGAGGCTGTTGGTGTCCATTTTGTTTTGCTTGTTTAGCAATGATTCGGTCCAAGTTACTATTACTTGTTGGTCTTTTAAATGTGAAAATGTCCTTTTTTTTCTTTATTCTGTAGGGAAATGGCATGTAGCTCATTATATTGACTGCCAGCAGCATTTATTAATTGGTATTTCAATGGGAACCTCTCCTCATGTGATTATAGAATAACAGATACTACAGTAGTTTAAACACAAGGTTAAAAAAAGTACAAGACACTCATTGTCAGAAAAATAAGTGGGGAAAAAGACTGGAGTCAGAAAAGAGTAAATAAATTATCTTTGACATTTGAAGGAAAATATATGCTAAACCTGTACATAAAACAATATTTTTGGTTTTATTTGTCAAGTCTCCAAAGAAAAAGATTTAAGTTGAAATAACCTGCTTCCATTGTTTTGTGGATTCTGCCAATGATAGCTACAGTATGGAGAAGAAAAAAGCAGGGAAAAGGAGAGGTACTGGGGGTTGCCAAGGCTGATGCTCAAAAGATGGCTTTCCCTTCTTAATGTTGTTTCAAGATGATTTATTTAAAGCTCTGGTGTAGCGCTGGTAGCTAGGATTTACTCTTATCATTTTTTCCTAGTCTCCCTCTCCTTTCTTATCCTGAAAACTGTGCCTCCTTTTCATGTTCACTTCCTATGCAATATTTTATAGGTTAACCAGAGTGCAAAGAGAGAAGTCATGTTGTCATCAGGGACAGAATTCAATGCTGTCAAATCCCTGGTACTGGGAAAGGTTTTAGGTAAGTGGAAGAAAGAGCTTTTCCCCCACAGCCATCAGATCATAAGTGTCATGTCACAAATGCTGGAAGCGTTCATTATGCTGAAGGAAGCTCCTTGTCTCATTTTAATAATAATTTATACAGTGGGTGACAATCAAGGCAAAAATTATACTCTTGTCAGAGTGCACACGTAATCAACAGTAAGTGCTCCCCAAAGGGCGCTTGGCACTTGCCTTCCCACCTGGCAGTTATGTACAATGAGTCCTGGTATTTTTCTAACATTTCTTGATACGTGAGATATTACCATAGCAGACAGAAAGTCTCAGCACAATTCCAGAGACTTCCTACGCAGTGACACAACCACTTTTGAGTTGAAGACAAGAAGTAGTATTTATTTCCTTCAACAGATGGATACAGATGGAACTCTGTCCCACGTCCTCCATGGCCTGATGTTTCTGTCCTGGATGAGTCTAAGCAGGAATTAGTACATGTTTACCAATACCCATTACGCAGACAGCAGTGTGTAGTAATTGTCCATAATACTGGTCGGGGAGCATTTCTAAAAGTTTAGCTCAACTTTAAACTTAATGTCATAGTAATCAAAGGAAACAATTTTTTGTAAGGAAATACACCCATCTTATTTCAATCAGTAAGGACGGTGAATTTTATTATCTGAAGTATGAAGAGAATCAGAAATTAAAATAATGTGCGTTCTATAAATTTGATTACCTTCAAATAAATAAGTGCATAGATTTGAAGATGTTAATGTTTATATTCAAGGAAAGTATCCTGGAAGGCATGTAATTTACATTATAACATTTCATATTCAAATTGAGCATTGAAATATATAGTTTGAATCATCTGACCTCAACATGTTACAAATACTCATTTTGCCTGTGCTTGGAGAGAGAAATAATAAAGAAGGATTAATTAAATTTTCATTTTTTTTGACAACTGTAGTTTCGGATGGCTTCTACAAGCCATTCTGCTAAGCCTTTGTGCTACTTTCAGAATATTTGATAAATATACTTAAATTAAAATTTTATGCTCAAATTTGGAATTATATAAAGTATATTTATTCCTTTAACTTATAGTAAAATAAGTAAACTAGTTGGCTAGTAGAGAAGCTACTAATTTTCCAGAGAAAGTTACCCAAAGTTTCAGTGTTAAGTTATCAGTATTGGTTCTCATAGTCCCTGTGAGTTACTGAAGGAGGTTTGGTGAACATTCATTAGGTACATGGAATCTTCCTGAGCTGCTATGTGGCTGATGGCCAGGTATAGCAGAGTTGGCAATGTGGTTTGTTTGCTTCAGATTTTCTTTGTTTAAAAAAAAATAAATAAAAAAAGTGTATCTGGTGATCGTTTTCTATGGAATTTATCTATTGAGAATGTACCACAAATAAATTAGTTATTTAATATTAATATTTAGCATTTATAAGAGAAAAACTCCCCTAAAATTTTGTATCTCTTCTTTGAAATATAATTAATGCAAAAACATCTTTTTTATTGATTGATTGATTGTACCAGGGATCAAACTCAGGACCTTGCGCTTGCCAGCCAAGCACTTATTCCACTGAGGTATCTCCCTGGTCCCAAAAACATCTTATAGTATATCAAACCAAAAAATATTCTGACCATAAAATTGTAAGGCAGAACTTTTGTAGGAGTATCACAGCATGTTTAGGAAGTACCAGAATGGGATTTTGCAAGAGAAGAGAGAGATCAGGCTCAACTTAAACAAGAAGAAGGAAAAGTGTATACTTATATTGAGGATATGGTGGGGAGCAGTCAGGGATGGAAAATCACTAAGTTAGGGGTATTCTTATCAAACTGGCCTAACAGGATTCTTGGTAAAGACAGGCCAGGATGACTAAACATTACTGGGGGACAGTGAGAGACAAGCAGGATGACCACTGTCAGGTGTGGTAGCATACACCAGTGATCCCAGTGCTCCAGGAGGCTGAGGCATGAGGAGCTCAAGTCTGAGCTTTCACAAAAATATTAAGAGGGTTAGGAAAGTGGTTCAGTGTGAAGGGCCTGGGTATACTACACAGGCACACATACGTGCGCATGTGCACACACACACACACACACACACAGAGGTGACTAAATATTTAGAGTGCAGGGTTCTTATTAAATCAGACTTGACAAGATTGTTGCTATGTCCATTGCAAACTCAAAAAGTTGGGGTTAGTTGGAAAGAAAATTCTTTCTGAAGTTGACCTATGCTTGCCAATAGTACCAAGGTTCTTAGATAAACAACTAATTGAAGATTCTTTCAATAGAAGAAACATACTAGAAAAATACCTAAATGTATGACAAAATGGTAATTCTGTCCAGGAACTAAATATACTTGAGTCAAATCAAAGGGTGGAGAAGGAAAGGGTAGAAAGTTGGAAGAAAAAAGAAGTAAACCATTCTCCAGCTTGTTAGGAAGAGAATTTACTCTTTTCATATAACGGTATCACAGAAAGCTATTGGTGGCAGGTAGTCGGGAAACTAAACTCTCAAAATTCCCCGAAGGACATATGAGAACTTGTACTGCAACGTCATGTAACTCAGTAGTTTCTCAAATTTTCTGATCAAGGAGATTATGGGGCCAAAGAGGAAAGTGATCGATGATGTAGAG